CCTTCCTTTCTGATAACAAAAGATAGTTTTCACACAGAACAATCAAAGCAATTTCATGCTAAAACCACACATATGTTAGATTGATGACTTGTACAAATAAATTCCATAAATCAAGCGAATTAAATAGAAGGTCGAAATTGCTAAAATTGCTGCCTGAACATGAATATATCAGAACATATGGTCTGTTTGAAAGTCCACAACTAAAAGACCAAACTTTGATCAGTTGGCCTGATGATTTTATGTTAAAAGTAACACAAGTAGTAGCACAAGTCTAATGAAATAGTGTAATGCCAAACACGAAGGCAATCTGAATTTTTACCGATCCATCTTTACACCAACATGTCCTACGAAAGTAGCACGATAAATGACTAGAAAAGATGTTGATCAACATGTTTGTCTCATTTTTGTTGTTATTTTTGTTATTGATTTGCTTTTCTTTTCCCCCGTTTTAAGTTCTTTCTTAGATTTTTTTCTGTCCTCCTAATCGTTTTTCGTGTATTTTATTTTATTTTAGTGTTTTCGGTGTTTCTCTGTGCGTTTTTCTCAAATTTTTTATTTCCCTTTTATGGGGACGCGTGTTTATGGGGACGCGTGCTAGGGCTGCGAAAGGATTCCCAGAGTTGGTTTTATCCAGTTTTCTCTATTCCCAAACATTGGTTCTCTTAGTTTTTGCTTAGATTCGATTTGGGAGAGTGATACTCCGAGACAAACACGATTTGGCTTGTAATTTGAATTCGTTTCTCGACTTGGATTAATCGTAAGTTCCTTTCATTTGATTATGGATGTGAATTATTTCGTTGAATCTTTTGTTGTGGTCGATGTCAATATGTGTAGCTAAATCGTTTCGTTATGAACCTAGGTTAGATACTTGATCATCATTCTAATCTAATTAATCAACTTGTAGAACCGACATGGGAGTAGTTGATCGATCTAGGCTCGTTTAGAATAGACTTGTTCGTAAGTGTATTGTCTATGTGTTAATTGATTCGATAATTGATCGTTCATGTTTGTTCTCTTTTTACAAAAAATTATTGAGAATGAACTTCTAAACGAATAGGTTATTTGAACTCTTAACCGAATAACTATTTGCTCAACAATGGCATTTAGAACTAGAAACGATTATTTTCGACTCCCTAACCTCTTCATCATTATTTGGATCTTCTTTGGAATTGAAGAACTGTCTTTGCATCGTTTGAGAATCATTAGTTGCTAATCAAAACCAAAACCAATTGAATTAGTGTTAAAATAAAAAGTTTACAACGAAATATGTTACCTGATTGAATAATTTGCATACTTGCTCCATTTGCCACCTGCTAAATGGGATAATTTTGTTCTCATCAAATGTTGGCTTATATTCCAAGTGACGTAAAGTTCTGTTTAAAGCATATATTAGGCTTCTCCATTCCAATAATCACTATTATTTGTTTCAACACGCAAACAATCCTTGAGATTTCTTTGTTTTTAAAATTACAAACACCCCTCAAAGTAAGGCTTTTCCTTTCCAATAATCACTCTTTTAGTTATCTCACAACTAAAGCCCCCTGTTCAAGGCATACTGATAAATTGTTGTAATTCTTAAATCTTGCATCAGATGTTAGTTTGTGCAACCATCATCTATATCTCGTGTGTGTGTGTGTGTGTGTGTGTGTGTGTGTGAGAGAGAGAGAGAGAGAGAGAGAGAGAGAGAGAGAGTGCATATGGTCCAATCTGAACAATCAACTTTTAACATTTTCCAGTGAACTCAATAAGACAACCAAATTTCAAACAGGGGGAATGAATTCCAGAGAGTAATCATTACGTGTTCAGTAATATAGCTACTTCAACAAATAACTCCCCATCAGAACAAAGTCTATACTCAGTAAAAACCCCACAGCAAAAAAGTCGTAAAGAATTAGAGATACCCATTTGCTTCCTTAGAGCTTCTGAATAACCACCGAATTCAACAGCCCGGCCTGCTCGATTGTCTGGGTGTGATCAGATAGAATCTTGGGAGGAAATCCAACGGCCTGCAGTTGGTATGACCTGGGCCCACCAGGCCTGGAGGCATCAATGAACGAGCGGACATGGGCTATTGTGTGGTGGTTGTTGAAGTGGGCCACCATGCGGGTCCCGTCCGCCAGCCTCAGCTGGATGGAAGTTGATGGCTTTGATTTATCCACCGTGAGGCCCATTGCAGGGGAAGGCGCACTCGTGAGTGGGCCCGAAACAATTTCTGTGGGGCCCATATCAGTTGTGGAGCTGCTGCTGCTGCTGCTTCCTAGAGTCCTGCCGACGCCCTGAAATGCAACGTGGCGTATTTCTTGCTCCTGGGAAAAACAAATAAATAAATACTTCATATAGAATCAGTTTTACTTTTTT